AATAACATTTTGGAAATGTATTTCTGCGAGGCTACTTTGTATACCTGCCATCACCAAATTATATTTTTAGCTTCTTAAGCCAAAAATAAAGCAACATAAAAAAGTATTGAATATGATAAAAACTTAGGCATATAGCTACATCAGATAAAGAAAGAAAATTATTACAGCAAAATCTCATGAAAGACAGATTATCAAATTATATGTTTTAAGACATGGAATACATTACATAGAAGAGATAAAAGATAAATTCTGAAATTCTAACTAAAACTCTACAATGTCCAGGGATTTTGAAAATTTTGTTTTATTTTTTCAATAAAAAATGAAAATTTGGGAAAAATTAATGTACAGGTCATCTTTATTTTTAAAATATTATTTATATGCACTTTGTTACTTCATAAAACCATAAAGTTTGAAGGGATTATTTAGACATCAAGTCCTACTCTCTGCTCAGTGTAGGAATTCAAAGTCATTCAAAACATATGGTTGTGTAGGCTTTGCAGAGAATGTTGTCATTATATATTCCTTTGTTTACTTATAAAAGGATGTTTTGTATAAAAATGTAAAATATCGTTTATTCAGAAAATAGTTTGAGTTTTTTTAAGTCTTTTCAAATGATACACCTTCCAGTCAACTTCAGGTTTTGAATTGAAGGTTCTATTTAACAGTATTTTTTTCTTATATGCTTTTATCATTTTATTACTGCATATGCTTCTGAACTTTGAATTTTGTCTACACTGAGGCAAGTTTCTGAATTCTTTCACAAGTCTATTTTATAATTTAATGTGAGTATTCTAAAAACAGATGTTTTGTATAATTTCTCTTTATCACTCTCATTTTATTAAATTTATGTGACACCTATCTCATCTACGTAGCACCGTGTATTATTTAAGATCCAGATGGCCCCCACTTCTATTGTTTAAAAGAGTCATGAAAAGCTGGCTCTTCACCAGACTTTTGATGAAGAAAAATGAGCCCTCACTTCATTTCTTTTGTTCAGTTATGCTTGCCATCTTTTATATTTTTCTTTAATTTCTTTTATTATTTCTTTGGTGGCTGTGAAATTACCAGATTCGTTAAGAGCCAGGAGGCTTCCGGTGGAGACTGCTGCGGGGGATGGTCGCGTCAAAGCCTGAAGAAACAGCGGACATTAGCTGTTTCTCGGCTTGGAACCTCGTCCCTCGGGCGAAGAGGGAGGGGTGAGCTTGCCCGGATAGAGATTGAGCTCCCTTTCTCCTCCGTTCCTTTGTCGAGGGAAGAAAGGTGAGAGCTCTCTCGGAATCTGGGCTTTTTCTCCGCGCCCCATGGTGCCTTTGTTCCTTTCTTTTTAGGAGCAAAGCCAGACGCAGCTTCCACATCTGCTATTTAAAGAACTTGAGATTGTGAGTAAAATTACAAGCAGACGGAACTGACCAGGAGGATTGGATTCTAGATGTTTTAAGACTTTAACTCAGAAATTATAGTATCTTCCTTATTTTGTATAAAACTAAAGTAAGAAGAAAATGGCTGCGGAATTGCCGTTTCTTTGTATTGAAAGGCGTTGCTAAGAAAAAATTTTACTCTCCTTCCGGTTACTGAATGGACTGAGATACATTGTGACTTTTCTAGTTTACTGAAAGTTCAAGTTTTCTCTTTTCTTCTACATAATTTGTATCTCTTGTTTTGTGAGTAAATTATATTCAGAAGAAGTTTTGAAAATGGCTTCAAAATGTATTGGGAACTTCTGCTTTTTCTAAAGCTGTGATTTTATTTCCAGTTATACAAATTCTACAATAGTCTTAATTCAAGATGCCTTTACTTTCATTCCCTCTGTCAATTATACTTAAAGATCTACAGGATGCTTTGATGCAAACAGCAATACAAATTAGAGTGGAAATTGAGGATCTTTTGGATAAGAAAATAGAGGGATTATATGAAAACATAGCACTTGTTTTTCAAGGTTTTACAGTTCATGCAGATCGTAGAGAGGGACGGGCAAATGAATTATCTAAAAATGCTGAAGGGATGGAGGACAGACTTGTAAAAGTAGAAGATGCTGTGGAAATAGTTCAGAATGATATCTTACAAAACAAAGACCTGGAGTCTGCCTTGAGAAGAGGATTGAAAGAGCAGGAAAAGCTGAGAGAGGGGGCTGTGATAGATCTGGCCGTGATTCTCGCGTGCGACCCTGAAGAAATTTTGGGAGAAAAAGTTTATAGAGTACCGTATTTTTCGCACCATAAGACGCACCTGACCATAAGACGCACATCGTTTTTAGAGGACAAAACAAAAGAAAAAAAAATTTCTAACCGGCGGTGGCGCGGTCAGGTAGGCGGCGGCGGCGCGGTCGGATAGGCGGCGGCGGGCCGTCCGGGAGGCCGCGGGGGGGGTGCAGCGGGCCACGGCGGGCCGTTTTGGAGGCCGCGGGGGGGTGCGGCGGGCCGCAGCGGGCCGTTTTGGAGG